GTTATTTAAACAGAATATTATCCTCGTTTGTCTAAAATTTTCCGGATTCCTTCCGCATCGCTTCTTTCAGTTAGAACAAAAGTATTAAACCTTATTATAACCACCCCCTCCAGATTTACGACGAAATTAACGCCAGCTTTAACAGACCCTAGGCCTGTTAAAATTGGGTGTGCTAACGACCATATTTAACACACTAAACTTAAATACGTTTGTAGACTTTAACACATACAAGAGGTTATTAATACTTTGCACTGACTGAATGAATACCTCTCTTCTTGCTTGAATAATGTTTAACGAGAAGTTACTATTTAAAGAAAATTTTAAAATAGTTATAAACATTTTTCGTTATTTTAGTGAAGTAAATAAAAAATAAATATCAAAAGTTCATGACCGTCTGTCCTGAATGGATTGGATTAAACAGAATCTGGTATTTTCTACGCACCTAGCGGAAGTGTGTTCCTAAACCTTTAAGGTATATAGGGAATATTTTTAATCCTTTAGATATTCTAATAGAAAAATATTAATATTTATTATTTTTTTTTTTACTTATAAACATTTCTTTGTTGAGTAATATTACAATCTGCCACAATCAATTACATAAGGAATCGTACAATTTCATAGATTAGTACGTAATTTTTGTCTTTTTAAAATTCCGTTGGAATAAATTGCATAATTTATTGTTTATTTGATATTAAACCGATTCAATTTTGAATGAATCAGTCGTCGTTATTCATAATCTTTAGTATTTAAATATTTTCAGAAAAAGTGCTAACTGCCCAATCAATTATCTGACGGAAATGCCAAGCTGTTATTAATATATTTTTAATATTCTTTGTGCTTTAAAACCGGTCAAAGGTTTTTTATTTTCCTCCATTGTTGTTCGCACTGTCTACGCCATTCATTATCGTGATTTATTTTTTAGTTATTTTTATCATTCCTTTCGTCAGCTTTGTTCGTTATATATAGATGAGAAATTGTTTTCGCGGCGACGGGCAAATATCTATTACCGAAGAAACGTTTGAAGTTCGGTTCTTATTTTATTTATTTGTTTAATGGTTCAGTGAACTTTAATTGAAAGTTAAATTTCACAACTGGCCAATTATCAAGTTACTAATGTGATCAAAAAGTAATAGTTTAAAACTTGCTTGTTGCTTCAACGAGTTTTTAATTTATAAACATTTTAGAAATCAGGGCAGAAATTATGAGAAAAACGAAAATTATATTACTGAATGTAGAATATGTATACCTTACAATTGACTGTTTAAATTTTCATAAACTGTTCTCAATGTTCATTTAACCTAATGTAATTTGAACTTATTGATAGTTTTTTTATTAATTAATGGTTTAGAAAAGTTAGATGTTAAGAGGGGGGAAAAAACCTTGTGATTGGAAGAAACATTTTCATGAATGATATATTTTTTTTATTATTATAATTATTTATTATTGTTATTATTAGGAACTATAACCCAATACCCCAGACAGAAACTGTTCGTTACCTTGGACTGATATTCGACAGAAGGATGAGCACCGGTCCACACGTCAAAATGTAAAGAAAAAACAATAAACAAGCGACTGAAAATGCTATATTATTTTTTTTAAAATCAAATTGAAAATCAGACAAAAATTAAATATATACACAAACACTTAAATTCATACGGACATACGCCTTACGTATTTTGATCCAGCAAAGAAATACGCACTTACAAAATCTACAATCTTTCTAATCCAAAATATTAAGACTAATTTTTTTTAAATATTTATTTAGACATATAATATTCTGTCACGGGGACAATGGTTATATTGATAAATGAACACATTCACACCGAATATACAAACAAAAAAAATTAACAAAAGTAAAATAATAACTAAATAATAATAAATAGAAACTATATACAATAAAAAAATAAAATAATCTAAATATAAGTAAATTAAAAACATAAAAATACAGTCATACCTATATACAATATATACAACCAGGCGAGGAACCCAAATTCCTGCGCTACTCTCTCAACCGCCTCACTGGTGCTAAAGCCGGTGGAGTTTGAGCGAGAGCGCTTTAGCCACATACACTCTTGTTAAGACTAATAACTTCAGATCCGTTGGTACGTAAACGCAAATGGTACATAAACAACAATACTTTACATACAACAGCCAACTATTGACCTTAACATATACGTACTCTTTACCAGTTGTGCCCAGAAGAGGGTTTTAATGCCCAAATTTTGAGAGGGGATTATTTTGACGAGTTTTTGAATTTTTGAGGGGGGCAAATTACTAAGGGGTTACGAATTTCCGGACTAAGGGACAAGGGAGAAACATAGAAGAAACCGCAGCAAGTGTAATTGTAATTTTAATTCTACTTAAGCTTATTCTGTTTTTTAAAAAGATGAGCAATAATATATGTTGGGGGAGGGAGAGATAGGTAGGTTCTGGCGCCATCTATTGCCATCATGCCAATTTCTAACATAACAACAAATCTGCTTATTGTCAGTCTCATGACAGATTTAAAGATAAAAGAAGTTGTTTTATTTGTGCGACAGGTGTAAGATAATAATGTTTCAAATTACCTGGGTCACGTGACGGCCGATATTGCCCCGTAGAGAAGCGATGACACGAGAGGACCCGTAGGGTTGTTTTATATAACATCACAAAGAGCAGGGCTATATGAGATGCTTAGAAGGGACGATATTAATTGTTGGGGAGAAGCCAAGCGAAGGGTTGTACACTGTATCGGAAGGGTGAATAGCCCTTATTGCATACCTCAGTCGCCCCGCTATACCCTCTCTAGCCCAATATACCTCAGCTCTTCCTTCCAATCTTTTCTTCTACTTCCATTCAATAAGTCCGAGCTATTTCACCTTTCGGCTCTCCAGATTAAACACGACTTCTCCAACATTCGTAGCTCAAATCCGCCGTTTGAGTGTAAAACTCCGTTGCGATCAGAGATATCCTGTTTTTACTGAAGTTTAAAGGAGATGTATAACCATTACTCTATTATCCTTATCGGTCTAAAAATATTGCAACGTTATCCTTGTGCGATCCAAAAACATTTGTGGCAAGCTTCGACTAAAACTTTTCGTGAGTTATCCTTAAATCAGAGATAAAAACACTATTTTTTGTTTAATATAGGTATATCATATTATGAAGTAATCAAGTACTCATATTGAGTACTTGAATAACGTCAGTGCTCGAAACATGTCTTGATACATCCTACCTGATACTATGCTTACCTGTCCATCCAATGCAATCTTCGGGAAATTCAACAATTTGATATTCAAGCCACTAAAAAAGATGGCTGTCAGGCGTGCAGTAAATGAAGTCAGAGAAGTAATGGTCTGGCGACCCTAATGAAGGCCTGAAGTTTAGACCGAAACGTCGGGAAAAAATAAAAATAACTATACTTATTTATTTTTACTTTTTTTTTTTAATGTTCGCCCCAACCAATCTTCTCTTCAATTATTCACTACAGTTAACTATCAATCCACAATTAAGAAAGAACCTTTCATTTCCCACTCGTCATTTCTCATCTTCTAGTTCTGTACTTTGTACCTTTTTATTTTATTCAGTTAAAAGTTAAATTAAGTACTTTCCATTAAAGACATAGCATAACTTTTATATAAATATAATTGTTAATAAAGTTAATAAAAATCGCCAACTTCTTTAATCTCAACCTCGTTTTACACAATCTCATCTAATATTCTGGTTCAAGAACTAATTACTTTATCGAATAAATATTTCCTTATTTAAATCTTTATTTTTATTAAAAAATAAATTAAGGTTATAAATTATATTCCGCCATTACCGTCTTATACCGCAGCATAATATTTTGTTTTTTAACTACTTCTGATACGTTTTCTTAGTTGAATTTTAATTCGTTTTATTCTAATATATTATGAATACTGAAGATTTATTCCAAAGCATAATTTCATTACCCTTCTCCCTTCTTCCATAAACTGAAATGATAAAATGTTTTAATGAGTTTTATTGTAGCACTAATAAATAGGCATGCATGGTGGCTAATAGGACAGAAAGTACGGTTCACTTGGTGCCAGGTATATGGTGTTGGTTTATTATTATTATTTATTATATATCATATCATTTATGCATGTGTTGTTTTCTTTAGATAGTAAGGTTGTTAATTAAATAATTAACATTAATACATAAAGTAAATATTACTTTTCTTCCTCGTTGGTTTTTTTAATATAAAATGAATATATCACAATAAACGTTTCTTTCTTTTGTCCCATCTTGAGGATCTTGATATTATCATTATTTTGTTTGAAGGTGCTAATGATAAACCCTCTTTATCAAATTTTTAACATCCGCCTAAAACTTTGATTAATTTGATCACAAAATCGAAGAAAAAATTAGGTCGTTACCGTATATCACCTCGTTATTTTGTGTGTTGAGCTCACGCCAGACGGCCCAATATTTTTGAAGGTCACATATTTTCTCGATTTTGTGAACTTATTATCTTGCGATTCAGGTGGAAAGCAAATGGATATTCATGAGTTTTCAGTACCTAATTAAATAGACAATGCTGTCAATCTGCAGATTAAAAATGCTCTAATTTGGAAAATTTTCATAAATAAAAAAGTTGTGGATTACGATGAGATGAAGCTATTCTCGAAGTATTAGGCGGATGTTTATAATATGATAAAAAGAGGTCTGTACCACGAACTGTTCAAATATATTTTCACTTTAATATGAAGTTTATTTTGTATCTAGTTTTACTATATTTACGATTGGGTGGTATTTCACAGAAGTAAACTAATCTACATAATATCCAAAAATTGCCCGATGCCATTTAATTTTTACTTAACTTAAAAATATGTGAATTTTAATCGGTTTCCTTCTGTTAAGCGCCTTCAAACTAGAGTATTCTTCGTTATTTTTTTTCTTAATTTGGTTATTTTAAAATTTAATTATTTTTTAAAACAAATTAGCCAGTGGTTCGAAACCGCTGGTCAAAATTTGAACTCATTTTGGTTTCTGCTCCAGGCCTCAACCGACCGCCAATGTACCCCTTCACTACCGGTCAGTATCCTTACCCGATGCTGAGTCCGGAGATCTCCCAGGTAGCAGCTTCCTGGTAAGTGATGTCTCAATAATTTACATATATTATTATTATATTATATTATAATTTCTGTACATATAGATTTAGTTGCTTGGAATTTACCTCATCCATTTAATATAATTTGTTTTAAACTCCCTCATAGTTATCGAAAATCCTTCGTTTTAATACTTATCACTCTACAACTATAAATTTTCATTTATTTTTATTGTTCCAAAAAATCTATTTTGAAAAAAAGAACAATGAAATTTTTATATGCATGATCACGAAAATCGAATGTTCCATTTAAAAAAAAAATGTCTTCCTCAGATTATGCTTGTCATTAAAATACAAGTAAGCAATAACGCATGTTAAATTTCATGTAATAATAATATCAATATGCTAAATTCAAAGCTTGAAAAAATCAACGTAAAGTCTGTGAGCACTTTGCCCAAATAAGATGAGACTTTATTTAATTTGGAAATTATTTATTTATTCTTTGGTTGAAAACCTCTAATAAAAGTTATTAGAGTTATTCCTTATTTTAAAACCACATTATTATTTGCCTTCCATTATATCATTATGCATGATGTTATTATTTATGTTACTGTAGTAAGAGTGATTTTAGTAGAAATTATTATTAAAATTTATTTGAGATATTTTATTATTTAAATTTATTTATTCAGATTTAAGTCTGTGACAAAGATACACAATGAGTACAGTGTGATTAAAATCATTTGTAGAGGCGCTACAAATGTATCCTACGCTTGTGTTAGAGGTTCACAGTCCATATTCTTTTCAGACGCCTCGGAGTGCGATCAGAAAGCATTAGAAAAGCTATAAGCAATGGGTTTTGGCGCAAATATTTAGGAGGATGAGTATTTATTTCACCCAGAATTTTCAATATGTAGGACTTAAAAGATCATTATGGATAACTTTGTTTGTCACATAAGAAGAAACGTTGAGGATTTTACAAAGGGCTTCGGATTTTAAGCTTTGTAAACGAGAGAATTTGATGGTTTTAATGGTAACATAATACTCAACTCTTTGTCTTCAAATAAATGTAATTAAGGTCACGTAAATTTTTTTTTTAAATATTGAATTGCGTTTAATTATTATGTAAGTTTTTTTATTTTATTAGTTGGAGGACAATTGATCTGATCTTTTAAAATCGATAGACACACTGCAAAAGACTGTATTAGCAAAAACTAAAATGATTTTTTACCGCGTTTATCTTATTTTATGCACTAGATATTCTGCTTAATTTTTACTGCATGCCTAATACAAAAAATTCATTTTAAATAACGTTTTTTGTTTGCAATATTATCGAAATGGTTGACGGTAGTACGGAAAACCGATGGGAGTGCGGTCAATAGACACATATTAATAACCTTTATTTCATTTGCCTACGTTTCGACCTATACTGTAGGTCTTCATCAGGACATTTCATCCAACATTGGTGGAAGGAGCTATGGAAATGAAAGAGCTTCGTTTTTTATTGGTGTTTCGGAGTATTTGCGAAGCCAAGATTGACTAAAAAAGCTCAAAACCGCTCTTTCTATGAAAACTGTATAAACAGGATTTATCAGTGTGGCTGTCTATATTTTATGGCATAAATAATATTTATAAAGAAGTGTTTTTTAGGATTTTTTAAATCCTCTCGACCAATTTGACTTGGCGATTTGACATGAAGGGACAGAGAGAGTGAGGAAGAAACCTGTAGATCTTTGTGTACAGAATGTTTGTAAGCGAAGGGTGGACTAAAGACCCTTAAGGGACAGTACAAGGAGGGCGGACAAATGGAGCATGGTCAGTCGAAGGGCTGCAACTGGTGGCCATCCCCTATTAGCCGGATTTGCTCAAGGCGTCTCCTTAAGAACCCTGTTATTTTACCTTTTTTTTTTAGGGACCCTCAGGTTCCTCAGGCGTTTAATTGAGCTTCTTAAGTAAGATTAGGAGTTTTATTTAACGAATCCATCCTTTACTTTCTCTTGTAGTCCATATTTTAAAGTTAATATTGGATTTAAATAGTTCAGTGTTTTATAATTACTATACTCCATTAATTAAAACGGACAAGATAAAAAATATAGAGAATTGTGGAAGTTACATAATATTTAGACAAAAAATTATGAACGATGCGTATAAGCTTATTAAAATTATAAACAGTGAGTACATTAAACTATGAACAAAGTAAGCTAAGTAATAAGATCCTAAACTGAAGTAAATAGATGCTAACAATTTAATGTAATATATAATAAATGCAAATGTGAACATACTTCTACAGATCTACAGGAGAGATTGAAAGAAAAGGAAAAAGGATATAATATGAAATAATAGACATAAAATATTTTTACCACTATTTAGCCTATTTATGACCGCCACCTCGGACCATCTCCTTCCTTTATCAACGGTCAACTATTAAATATTCAATGTTTTAATATTTCTTTTTATTTACGGGACATCCTGTATGTTAGGGAAATGTCGCAATTTGAAATCATCGTAAAATTTATACTGTATAAAAGTTAAAATATACAATTCAATAAATACTTCGACTGCTAGTAAACATTTTCGTAATTTTTGGTAGATATGTACATTTTCGCGTTTTAGGGGAAAAGTAAATTAATCTAAAGACATGGGAAGAAATAATTATAATCTAGTCATTCCTTAACTCAGTGCTTATACGAGTTTTTCGTCAATTTGTTTTTGACGAATTTTGTAATGGGATGGAATAATTTGGAACGTTGCATGCTTGAATAATACTTGTTGAGATGAGATATTCCGTTTAGACCTGATGTTTGCTCTCATGCCGTAGGCATACCCCCAGCATGTACCCCATCAGCAGCGGGAGTGCCGGATTCAGGAGCCCTTACCCTTCGTCCCTGCCTATCACCACCGCCAGCCTTCCCAGGTTAGTATCATATCAATTAGTCTAACAGTAATTAGGAAATGTTACAAAAGATGTCTTCTTCTGGGACCTGTTTCATAATAAAAAACAAACTAATACTATTAGTCTTGTATTTCGTACTTATTACTACTTCGTTTTAAAAAAAAGTAAAGTACAAACTACAAGTTGTAATATCGAAACGTACTGGCGGAATACCGCTGTCATGAGGAACACTTACTACTTACTTTTTAGTATAATTAAAAGCCAAGAACGACTCAAACTACTTTACTCTCTTTTTGCCAAATCTTCAAAACTAAAACTTACCGGACTTACCTTCCACTTATTTTTTAATTCTTCAATCCTACTTTCTTAATAGATTTCTCTGTACTTCCGTAGATTCTTCTGTTTCTTCCTTATTTCCCCAACACAAAGGCGTACCACAAGTTAGCGTCTTAAGCCCAATCCTCTATTCTATATATACTTCTGATATCCCTGAGCATCCTAATACCACCATTTATTGCTTCGCTGACGACACTACTATTCTAACTTCACACAAGAATCCTTCAATTGCCCTACAAAACCAACTTCATGATCTTGAAAAGTTGTTTCACCCACGTGAGTTTCTCTCTTAGAAAAGCCTCATGTCCACCCATAACGATTGTCAATAATCCAGTGCCTTCAAAGAACTATGTACGGTACCTTGGACTCTACTTAGACAAAAGACTTACTTGGAACATGCATACGAAATTAAAAAGACAAGAACTTACTAGGCGATATAGCCAACTTTCACATCTTCTGGACTACAGATTTTAACTTACGAAACAAGCGACTGATCTAGAACACCTTACTGAGACCAATATGGACATATGGAGCAGAACTTTGGGATTCAGTAAAACTAACACATGAACAAAATACAAACAGCACAATAAAAAATTTAACGAAAAATTGTTAACTCACCTTGGTACATTTCAAATACTACTATACATAACGACTTAAACATCCCAACAGTAAAATTCTACATCCACGACAAATACACTACATTTCATTCTTCGACCCAAAATCACTCCAATCCTCTGGTTCTTTCTATCTCCTGCTCCCTGTTACCTGAACAACGCAGATTAAAAAGAAAATGACCGAGAGACCTACTATACCAATAAAATCCATATCAAGCAAATACATCAAGACAATACAAACACAACAAATTTGCTAGATGCGCAGCCGCATTGCATAAAAATTGCATAAAATATAAATAAATAAAAAATAAAACTAAAGCAGAAACTGAATACATATACATACTTACTTAACCCATATGGACGTACTCATTACAAATATACGGTATCGCTAAAAAGCCTACCTACAAAAACTTCAAAAGTTCCAATCAAAATTATTGCGACTCATAACAAAAGCTCCTTGATACGTAATTAACAGAATTCTACATACTGACCTCCATCTTCCAACAGTTGACCAAAATATAACGACCCTTTAACAACGATTTTACACAAATTTAAACGGACATAATAAGAGACATGGCCACAGCTGACATGTCTCAGAACATGAGAGATCTCCTTCCTTAAAAAACATAAGTAATCGGAACAAGTTAGGGAAGAGGTACTGCTGAGTAATTTCCTTCCCCATGCCTGTCATTTCATTATTTCATGTTTCGCCATCACATTTGCTGATTGTCAACAATAAGTTGACCGGCGCAAATACATTTTTATAGACAAAAAAAAAAAAGCCTCAATACTAACCTCTCAAAAAAATAACGTTGCTCATTTTTCTGACTTGTACTTTTGTACTTTTTTACTAATGTAAACATAAAATAAAAAGTAAAAGCAGTTGAACTTTGTGGTGTAAAAACTTATATTTATAGACTAATAACATTAGCTTCATTATGAAACAGGTCTGTGGAGTGGCAACGGATGGTTTATGATGCGGTATGGTATACTCGATACGCCGGAATCAAGTTTTTTTTTTTCACAAAGATTTTTAATTTTATCTGAAAAGTTCATTATTTGTTTAAAATAAGTCTTTTTTTAATACATTAGCTCTGTATAACACAAAGCTACAAACAATACCAACCGATTTTTTAGGAATTTTAACTATGATGAACCTTATAATTTGGAGTAGTCCGTTTTTGTTAGTTGACTTCTCATTTCATTAATACATTTTACGCTTAATATGAAACTAAATTAACTTGCATATTGAATCAAATAATATTTTCGACAATCAACTTTCAAACATAGACGAAAGGTTTCTTTTGATGCCGGCAAAGGTGTGTCCTGAATACCATACCTGATAATAAACCATCCTCTATTTGCATAACGTTGAAAACATTATAATAATATAATAGGTATACTATACCAAAACAGCCTTCAGTGTTTTCATCATTTCATCGGATTCGAGGTATAAGTAACTGACATTTTAGCATAGATCTGATATAAGCTTCACTGCCTATGCAATTGGAAAATTAAATTAGTAGTAAATTATTTTCAATAATAATGCTTAAATTTGGTCTTCTGCCTCAGATAAATAATAAAAATGACACATTTGATAAAATCGCAGTTGTTAACTTTTACCTCCGATCCGACGATTTTCTTGTAAACACATCACAAAACCATTTCAGTTATAATCAATCGATTTAAATCAATATCAGTGAAAACTGTTCTGTGAAAAACAGCTATGATATTTTTACCTATGGAATCTACACTTATATTTTGTTTGAATCAACTTACGATTCAAACAAAATGTTTCTGATAGACATGTTATTTATAAAATTACTCATTACTAATAATTTGTAGCAAACAGGTTATATTGCTACTGCTTATTTTTCATTAACATTGCGTTCTATGTTATTTAATATTTCATAATTTATTATTTTTGAACATATTTTCATCAGTAACGAAGCAGTTTATAAATTAATTTTAAATGCTTGTATAATCGTACTCTCCTATAAAAGAAAATTTTTAGTAGTAATATTTCTTTGAATTCAAAAACTGCGTTTCAGTTGTGTCCAAAATTTCGTTTGTTTGAATTTTCTGAACTTTAAAATGCCTAACTTATACGAAGGAACTATGAATTTGCTTGTATTTTCTTCATTATTCGCCATTTTATTTATTTATTTTATTTAATTATTTATAATGTTTATTAATATTTGTTGTTGGATTCCAGCGATTTCTACAGGTTTTCGCCGACGGGGCTGATGGGACCTCACCCGGGCCTTTCGCCTCACTCTCACCCAGCCATCGTCACACCAGGGCCCAAGCAAGAGCTTGGAGCCAACGACATCTCCCACAGGTTAGTCCAGTATTATTTATATATATTTAAATATATGTGTGCGTGTAATTCATGAATATGTATCCAGTTAATATTGAATTGGTCTAGGTTCGAATCCTGGCTGTTGATAGTAAAATGTATTTTCCCTATCAGCTTTTCAGTAATATAATTCTTCAAAGCTTATTGCAGCATAATACTTTGATTTCTATTTTGTATAGAATAATAACAAAGGATTTATTATTATTAGATTATTAGGTGAATACTCTTATTATTTTTTATTTTATTGTTTTTAATTTTGTGTTTGTGTGTGTGTGTGTGTCTTTGTGATGCATAGTATTGTTAAATTAAGGTATCCCTGAATTGAAGATCAGACGTGACTAAAAGAAAGCGATTTTTTTCTATTAATTTTTTTTTTTTACTTACGTCGACTATATTACTGTTATTAAATCAAAGACTAGGCATACGTAAATAACAAAATTTCAGATAGCAAACATAATCTTACAATCGTCCTATATAATGATATAAATAAAAATAGTTACAGTAAAACTAAAAACTGTTAGTTTATAATCTTTATTCACAACCATCAAAAATGTTAATAACGCTCAGTAAAATTAATGATTGTAAATTGAGATTAAAAGATCATTCTTCTTTACGCCGAAGTATTGAGTGTTAGTATGTCGTTGCGCCGCGTTTTGTGGTCAGAAAGCAATTGCTGAGTTTCGTGTTCGATTTCAATTTTGCTGTCTGTATTAAAGTTTTTTTTAATACATCATTTTATGCGTGTATGTATATATATATATATATATATATATACTATATATTATATATATATATATATATATATATATATATATATATAAACATCCTGTTTCTTGTGTCATTGAAATGTGTAGATCAAGCTTAATTGGGTAACCACAAAAATAATTGAAGACCCGTTCTTCTTCTAATAATTGGCATATTTTTATATTTTGAAATCAGATGTTCCAATTTTATTTGATTTGCGATTATACCATGATGGGAACTCTCACATTAAATTTCCATCCTTTACCATTATGCGCTGTAGGCGACATCATCGTAACGTGCTCATACGTGTGTTCATCATAATACAATCAAGTTAGTCTTTTCAACATACCCAATTGTTTAAGCTTGATACTTCTTAAAGTGACAACTTACTTATTAAGTGAATAGATACATATAATAAATATGATTTCGTTTTTGGTACATATCGTACAACTAAATCCATAGCTCCTCACAGCCAGGAAAGGGTTAGTCCGAGAGCCCATTGACATAATCTGAAGAAAGTTTTCAATTAATTTTCTTTTTTATTTCATAACATTCATACCATTTATTTTTTAAAAAATGACTTTGCCAGTCGGATCATGGATAATATTACGGGAGATTTAAAGAATGTCAGTCCAGTAACTTGAGGATCGAAACGGGAAATTGATTTTGGAAAATCTAGGAAATATTTTTATGTATTTTTTTTTTATATAAGAATGTATTCACACCTGTCAAATTTTAACAATCAGCAAATGTGCTGGAGATACAGGAAATATTACATGTCAGGTATGGGAAGGGAGAGTACTCAGCAGCACCTCTTCCCTGACTTTTCTCAAAGAAAATTTTTGCAGAAAAATTTTTTCCATCCTTTTTTATTGTTTTTCACCTATAATTCCTGAATAGTACATGGAAGCGAAAAACTTACTCTTTAAGAAATTAAACAACGTCAAATCGTACGTCGAACGAGTACCTAAACTTCAAAATTACGTGTTATGTTCGATAACCACGGTCAATGGACGCTGATTTTTACCGAATTTGTCAAGAACTGAGAAAATTTACTATTAATAGCCCTGCAGCTTTGAAATGAGTTCTCTAAGAGTAACTCATAGAATAATATTTGTTAAGCATCAAATACCGCAGGTACTAACAGTGTTAATGTAGATCATTTAAATCATTTTTAAAAATATTAATGTTAAGAATATAAAAAAAAAACAACTTCAAAATTGTTTCTAGATGTCAATTTCTTTTCACGGGCTCACGGACTAGGTTTTATATTATCCTACCGTATTGTATATAGTGTTGATTTACTTTAAGTTCTTGGTATGATTATGAATATTTGGTGCTTGACTCCCCGTGGAAATTCGATTAATACCTGTATTGCCGTGTATATATATATATATATATATATATATATATATATATTTATTTATTTATTTATTGTGACGACGGTCGACTATTTATAGAAGGACCAGCGTAGAGCTATGAGAAGACTAGGAGGGGAGGGAGTGCCCCAGGGAGGGACTTGAAGATCCAGGCCGGTCGCTAGGCAACCGTTGACCAATCACGCTCTCTCTTAGCAACCCCCCCCCCTTCCAGTCGATACGCCCTGCCTCTTCCCCCTCCATCCCTCCTTCCCCCTCAGTCTTAAATTATATAATTAAATTAAAATTATCTTTCGTGTATGTCCACATTTCCACGTTCCGCTTTTCTCATTTATATGTTGTTGTTTTTTTCCCCCGCTTAACCGTTTCATTAGGTTCTATATTTCAACAAATGAATATTAAATTTCTCAATTTATTATCTGTGATATACTTGAGTGCTAAATAAGACATAATTTTCTCTGAACAATACAAACCGCACTGCCCAGACCGATTAGGTTTCCGCAATGCTAGATGAGTTGAGAGATTTCATAAAAATAAAATCTCTGCTTTACAACATAAGCCGTACTCGAGTTATTTAGTAATTTAGTTTCATAAATTATTTTAATCAATTACTTTTTTACTTTTTTATTTTCATTTTTACTGAGTAATATATTATTCTGTCACAAAAGGGACAATAGTCATATTGAGAACTTACATTCACACCATATATTCAATTACAAAATTGATGAAAAACATACAATATTTAATAAATGTTAAACACATGTACAATAATTACATACTAATGGTTTTAATGACTAACTTAAACTAACTTGTAGTGTTGTAATTAATACTTGTACAATAAATACATACTTGTTTATGACCATACTTTTATTTCTTAACTAAGCACACGACAGATGATTCATTTATATTGCGCAGGGACCAAATCATATACGGTCCTCATTATAATATAATATAATGTGGTGGGCATAAGTTAAATAAATCTTGTTACATTATAAAGGTTCGTTATCGAAAATACTAAACCGAAACATGAGTACAAAAACCACGTGTGGCCGTATTGTTGCTAACTCTTTTTTTTTTTGTCAGAAATTAAATCTTCTGTTACATTATGATGTATTATGAATGTTATATATATATATATATATATATATATATATATATATATATATATACAATTATGTGATTTTAAAGATAAAACTCGAGGCTTAAAAAACGGTTTCTTTGATTTCTTAATCGTCAAAAGTTAATTTCATCGTCTGTGCAATATTTATAAAATATTTAAATCCATATTTTAGTGAAAGTGAAAGGATAATAAAATCGAGAAAAAAATTAAAGACTAAAACGGTTGATTGAAAAAAATATTTCTTCGAATGAGATTTGACTGGAATAAATCAGCACGGTTCATTTGTTCGATTTAATTACAGGCCTTTCTCTGTTTTTTTTTTTTTCATTCATTTTTTTTCTCTCGAATTGTTTTTACTGTATAAGAGTTTTCGTGGGATAAAAGATTACCCTAATCGGTTTCGGAGATCAAAAATACGTTTTGAAAATAACGTGCTATGATTTGTTATACAAAAAACAGCTATTTCTTTCCACTTATTGGATAAATGTTATATACAACTAAATTATAAACTTTAAATAGTGCTGATATAGTTTGAGATTCAAAAGCTTTTCGTAATCCATACGTAAAAATCAAATCTCTCTTTTAATCGTAATCATTGATTCGTTCGGACCATATCATGCTAATTTCTGTCGCTTTCATAGTCGCAAATAGTTGTTTTATATTTTTAGTAACATTTTTAAATATTGCTTTTTATATTCCTATTTCAGTGTTTGCAAAGTTATAAAAGCAAAAAGTAAATATTATAAAGTTGAATATAATAGAAATAGATCTATCCACATGTTTTGAGTAAACTCGAGTTGAAATTAAAAAGCCTTCGAAAATCTGAAAGCTTCCAAATAAATTTATCATCTTTTGTATGACAATGCTAATTTATACGTTTTTTTTAGTTTTTTTCAACATTACAGTAACCCTGTAATGGGTGCATATATTTCTACGCGTACCATCTTGCGACATATCATTACATGGTTATGTCATTACGACTATCTAATTATTATTATATAACGATACGTTATTATATCAATAGATTAATAAAAAATTAACATTTTTTCATAGTTTGGTTTTCTCTTAAACAATAAAAAAAATATATAACCAACTAGTATTATATTTCCAATATTTTTAACACACCTTACTTAAGAGATGATTCATTTTTGTTGAGAATAGTGAGTGCTAATTCCGCTTAAAACCCATCTAAAACTCGTGTTTGCATAAGTTGTGGATAGATTCCTTTCTGCTAAATGTCATCTCATTATTAATCTGGAAATGATCTAAAACAAAGATATCGGAGGAAGGAGGGATAAGGCAGGTTCTGTAGAAATATGAGAAAACAACTCATAAAAAATGTGTTTTTTTGTTTGTTTGTTTTTTTTAGATGGAAAGTAAACTTTATTCTGGGACGAGGTCCATTATGAATAACAGTTATGAACAAAAAAAAAATAAAAACTACATCTGGCCAAAAATTATATTAATCAATATTAAAAAAAATATACAGTATCTTAGTAAAAGTATATTAAAACAAGTAAAAATAACACCATTTTGAAAAAAAAAAAAACATTATTTAAATGAAAAATAAAAAATAAATAATGTAAGCATGGGATGATTTTTAAAATTAAAACTCAATCAATTTTATCAACCATTCACCTCAGTTAAAATTTGTTTCGCAATATTTATTTCATTGTATAACGTCATTTTGGGATGTGAGAAGGAATTGGTAATGATGATATTTGAATGAGGACAAGGAA